ACATATACTTAACTATTAACACAGAACGTTACTCGATTGCAAAAGCTTAAACAGAATTTTATTTGCTACGCCTCGTGGATGTTACTAAACCAAAATGCTGAAAATGTAAAACTGTTTCTTGTACGAACCTAACAGCAACAGACTGCTTGCTTTTGTACTAAAAATTCCATTGTGAATACAGCGATATCTTAAACTCGAATCAACAAACAACTAGAGTCAGAAACTATACTCAAACGTTCTTAGACAACTTAATAGTGAGCACTCTCGGTAGCTCCTTCATAATTACTGTTGACTGCTTCCGTAGGCGAGGGGCAGAATCACGGTGGCTAGGCTCGCGGTTAAGATTAACCTTTTACATTTTAAATATCCCGCTTGCAATTCAGTTTTCATTAGCTTTTGGTTTGAGCGAGTATAGTGACGATCCAAAGAAAACAAGAGCGAAATGAACTGACAACTTACTAATAGTTAAACTAAAGCCACAATTGTTACAATGTTAGGGTAGGGACAACTTTGTTCACTAAAACCATATCTTCATATAAACCTTCTACGTGTACCCTAATTTGGAAAGGTTAATGACTCTTAAACTTATATTGCCAGCTGCAAATCTTGTTTCTTATGTTATTTGGCATCTCTTCTGAACAACTGGACTAGTCGATTCGTTCTTGGGCCATTTTTTTCAGACGTTCTACCGTTTTACACACTTTTTTGTCCAATTATATCATTGTTGCCTTTTTGCCTTTAATATTACGGTATTCTCCATTCCGAAGGAAACTTTTATGTTATATTTTTTAAATATTGCACTGCGTGAACTTCCCCCTCTATCCCCAAAAAGAGTCTGACAATACATATTTCGCATTTTTATTTTCACTGTTTTAGGCGCTTGTTTAGAGGACAATTTAATTCTCGGAAATGGCGTTATTAGTTTTTTTCCTTTGGCCTTGAGGAACTGATTTCTATACCCTAGCCAAGTCGTCTCGATTACTAAGAGCTAAATGCACGATCTGAAAATAGCTGACGGGCCGGAATTTTTTTTTTTTAATAAAAATTTTGTAAACCAAGTTTTAAAATTCACTTACTAGATATTTACCAAGACCTATATAAGCAGTAATAATAACATACCAAATGAAAAAAAGTTATATTTATTTTCTATCTGAAATCTAAAAGTTGGTTCCTGCAAGAAATTTCTGTCGCTTACACTTTGCAATTCAAATGTATTGGACGGTTAATTATTTAATTTTCAGACTGACATTTATTTCATGTAATTCTAATAACCATTATACAATTTTATCTTAAACTAAAAATAAACTAACTATGAAAACTTTGCAAACTTTCTAGATAAGACAAAACTTGAGAATAAATAATAGCAACTTAGTCTCTTTCATTAATTTATAATATTTTTCTTCGACGCATACAAAAACGTTATATATATATTTGTATGTATATAATTATAAACTTCTTTATTTCTTATTACAACTTGACACTTGATGGCGTTTCGATTTTGGCTATAATGTGTGTAGCCTTGGATAAAAATGACTAGAAAGTACTTTCATCATGAATTGCAGATGCTCAACATTGAATTGGATCCTTCTCTTATTAATTTTCAATTGTAAAAATAGAAAAAGTAAAAAAAAAGTCTGTTTACATATAAATGTACTCCCAAACAAAATGATTTTTCTTATTACGAAATTTCATAAATGGGCGTATTTAACTTTCGATGAATACTAATAAAAGTTAATCAAATTTCTGTTTTCAAATCTTTGAATAAGATTATATTTCACCGTAAATTAATCAGCTCCATTTATAAATTTTTTATACGTTATTCACGCTCACTTCAAGGGAATGACAATAATGTAAATTCGGAATTCAAATAATCTAAATTATTAAACCTTTCTTCAAATGATTATTGTAATAATGCTATTTTTCTTGCACATTCTTAAGATTTTACATTTGAAATAATAAAGTAGGATTTAAGATGCAGAGAACGTATGAATTCTTTTTATTGCAGTTGGGTTTCCTATAATTGCAATTTGACTTTACAACATACATGTCACTGATAAGTTTATTCTTCCCTTTCAGTTCTTTGTTAAGAATATTTAAATGATCGGTTAAGTTAACAAAAAATGCTAAATCACAGTCATCCAGTCTGCATGTAAGTACACAGCGGCAAAGCTCCAGCTTACTCATTCCATCTCTTTCTCCTTCAACAGTAGTAGGCATATAAGCTCACTCCATATTTCTATGTCTCTGAAACTATAAAAAAAAAGCACCGTATTTACAACAAAAATACAACTGAAATCTATTTGCGGACTGTCTGAAATTGCTTTGGGGCCGGATGCTGGCTGCCAGTTTGAGATCGCTGCCCTAATCTAAGCAGTCCCGGTTTGGTTCTTCAAAGCAAGGCAGCTTGTGTTAATGAATCATCCCGTTAATTTCTGTTTAACGCCCACCAGCGGCCGAGGAGTAAAGACACTGAACATTGATAGTTCGGTCCAAGGTTCGAATCCCGCGAACGGGCTGGCTGCACTAGCATTTTCGTGGTTTTCCCCATGTGTAACGTGCATACGAGCCAGTTTCCCTTAAAAAATACTCCACGAGGCACCTCTCTCTTCCCATGTTGTGCCTAATGGCGGAGCACGTAATAAATAACAACACTGGTCAGAAAGCATTTTACTTTTGTTTCCGTAACCATACTACTTCTTAATATGCTTTTCAACTGCTTTCTCACAGCATTCATTCGCATTAGTAATGTGTTAAGCGATTCGAACGGAATGTTTTGAAATAAAGTGTGTCCCAACAAGAGCGAAACTTTTAAGTGTGGCTTACTGTTGTGCTTTGACAGGAAAATTATTTTGAGGGCTGGCTATAGCCTTTTTGCCGCCGCAGGCAAACCTCAAAAGTGCCGGTTTTCCTTAAAACGTCATCTACGAAGGTGTCCCTTCCCTTAGGCAGATAGCCCTCGAGGCTTTGCCATAATCACATAAACAAAATCAAACCAAACCTTTCTGTTTAACAGAGTTCAAATTATTTCTCTTGCCCATTTTAAATGAATCGTTTTATCTGAAGTCTAAAATTAGTGTGACGAGTTTTGTGTTTGCATTTCATTGTGTAAATGCTTTACGCATTGGTAAAAGTAAAGGCTTTGCGAAAAGAGATAGAAACAGAACAGTGTACGACAGAGATCAAATTAGGTGTATATAAAAGATATTACGTGACATATATGCTATTGCAATAATGACGTTTTTACATGGACTTTAATTTTACACTCAAGCGATTCTTTACATGAACTCAGTTATACAGCAAAATGATATCAAACTATGTGAATGCAAACGATTGGCTAATGACGAAGGTATAAATAAAACTGCAATGGAATTTAGCTGCTGGATGGAAAAAAGCATTTTTTGAGGCTGATAAAAGTAGACATCAGAAAGCGAAGGGGAACTGGATGAAGAATCTTGCAAAAAAAATTTTAAAGCAAGAAAAAAAGGTGCTGAATATGAAAAACTGGAAAAGACCTTAAGGTAAGAGTGTAAGGAACACCTGTACAAAACTACAATCTGCAAGAAAAAAGTCTTTAAAATTTCAAGAAGAGGGCTGAATTGACCACAAACGCAAAGCTAGCTCAACAAATAGGAACAGCGGTACGAAATCATGCAGCTCAATTTTCGTGAAAGAAAATTTTCGCTAGCATAGAAAGTTTAAATTCAAGAATAACTTTTACAGTTAATTGAAGAAAGATGGTTAATCTAGAGATTTATTTTGTAATTACGATTAAACTAGCTAAATTTCCTAATGTTACCTTTAAGTAAACTTGCATCTGTGAATAAAAAGTCTAATCCGGCCTAAAGCCCGAAAAAGGAGTGAAGAAAAGTGAAGTTCCCTTGGCACACAGCAAAGTAAATGCGAGAGCAAACAAACTGATGCTTATAAGAAAAATTGCATTTAGAATATAAAAAGGGAGCACAGCTAAAAATGATATCGAGGAAAAAATTGAGTGGGATATCAAGGAAGAAGATATTTTTTTTAGTCTAAGCTCTGGAATCATTCATCTGTTAAAGTTATCTTGTTATCTGTTAAAATTCGAGATTGAACCAGTTGTTTCTCGTTGTAACGGCATTTTACCAGTTTGTTTCATTTTAACTGAATGCATCTCTTTGAAAGATTTTTCATCTGACCTGTTTTAGAAATCGCAATTTAAGTTTAACTGTTGTAATAGGGAAGAATCTTTATTCTAAAGATTTTGATTGCTTCAAGATTTGAATCTTGAATGTATAAATGATTGAATTTTAACATTACGAATTTTATTAACTTTGTTTTTCAGCCTTTTATGTGACATACTCATAAGTTCATTCATATTCGCATCTTCCATCATTTTATCACTGAACTTCATGTCCACATTTTGTGCGTAACATGTATGCGAGCCAGTTTCTCTTAGAAAGACCTCCACGAAGGCATCCCTACTCTTAGGCAGATAGCCCTCGAGGCTTTGCCATAATCACACACCACACACACACACACACACACACACACACGTCTATATTTCTGCTTTTGATTTTTATTATACATTAAATGCTCTCATATATTCTGTAATTTTAAGAGTGCTCATTTTCTATTCTTCTGTAGGTATTAATACCACTTGATGGAGTTACGTTTGTACAGGTTATATTTCTCGGAATATAACTTTCATGCACTAAGCATCTAAAATCTTTTCGGGTTTAATACCAAAACGCTTCTACGCTTTCGAAGGCTAGCTAGTGATGTTATTAAACATCGTGCACACAGCGTTTCTCGTAGATCATGCAGAGTCGTAAGAATATAATGATCGTCACATCATCCAGTTCGTTACAACGACTATTTGAACTATTCTAGATTATGCACTTTTTTGCCATTTTAATAACTCAATTCTTGATTTTGTTATTTTGATTTTGATTTGCAGTATGTCTGTAGAAGATTTTGGACATGATCTTTTTAATGTATGAACTTAATTTCTCATTTTCTTTCAGATCAGCAGTAAATACTATAAACGCCTCATTAGGAGGCGGCTTAGCAGGGCTGGTTTATACGTAAGTTGAATATTTTTATTCTCATCATAGATTTAGAAAATTTAGGTTCCTAAACAAAATAACAGCTCAGAAGTTTAAAATTGCTTCTACGCTTACACTGCTTATGCTTCTCGCAGAATAATATAATGTTTCTATAATTTTCCATAAAATAGTGGATATTGCTCCTGCTAGATTAATCTAACTCTGGATCTCATACTACTTCAATTTTCATATCTATCTGTATTTTGAACTGTTCAATGAAGAACGCTGCGGGGGAGACAATTTTAAATCCTTTGCCGAAACAACTGATCAGCCATTTCGCTCAACATACTATACAGCTCTAAGTCGGACAGCATAAATATTGATTAACCGCGCTTGTCTGGAAATTTGATTAACCTCGACAATGGGACCCTAGAAAGAATTTAATTCACTTTCTGTGGAATATTAACCGGGAAATATGACCCGTTCCATATGATGTTTATTGTTTATTTATTTATTTATTTTTTTTCAGTTCAAAACTATGGCGACCACTTTCAACTAAAGATATATTCAAAAAAATAATAATAATATGTAGTTCCTTTAATAAAATTTGGTTAAATATGAGAGTAGAAAAATAGTTTGTTTTAGTAGAAGTTACTAATGTTATCGAAAAAATAAACCTAGGAAATAATGGTGCGAAAAGTAAGCAAGTCCGATTTATGCGGCTGTTAAACTGCATTTAGAATAAATAAATTTTGTGCTTGGAAGCTCCTTTTTATTATCATAGACCCTGTGTGTGCAGAATTTAGCATATTAAAAATTCTCAAATAATCATAACATATGCGTTTTGCTATAATCTAATAATCTACTACGATCCATTAAGTTATAACTACGAAAATAAAAGAATTCAGGACCCCCTCCGATTCTTTCAGCTTTCAAAAAAATAACATTCTTGTTTATCCTTCAACCTAAAGCATAATTTTTTTCGAGACAATAATAAGTGTAGACTATATGATAAAGTTTACTTGATTTTATTGTCAACCTTATCGGCATAACTGGCGAGAAGGTGCATAGGTATTACGCATTTATTACATGTTGTGCAACTGTATGATTCAAAGATGGTACATACATTTGGAAATTGTATTTATAGTTTCATTTTCGAGCATAACTCCAACGAAGCTTCGTGGGACGTGAATAAGCATAATTGGGTTTTAAACTGTGATGTAGGCGAGCATTAGTGGGATGAGCAGGAGTATAGTTAAAAAAAAAATAACACTGAAATAAAGTATTATATTAAAAGTAAGAAAGTAAGATACACTGCTGGCCATTAAAATTGGAACACCATGAAAAGCAAATACAAAAAAGATATTAATTGCACGTAAACAGTATGGCATGAAGACTAAATGATTAAATTTGTAAGTATTTTGAAGGTTTACAGGGGTGCGAAATTAGCAGAAACAGCTGCCACCCCTAGCAGCTAAAATGGCCCTTACTCCGTTAGACATTGAGTCAAACTGAGCTTGGATGACAGAAACGGGCAACTCATTCCATGCTGCTTCAAATCTATGCCACACTTCATCAACCGTATTAGCTGGAGAGGGGTGGCGGGCCAGTCTCTCAGCAACCCATGACCAGATGTTTTCAACGGGTGACATACCTGGAGACCGTGCAGGTCAGGGCTGTAATCGAATACCCTGTGTATCTAGAAAGGTCAGAAAACGTCGTGCAACAAATTACTGTCGATCCGAAATAGAGATGTGCGTGTCGTGTACCGAATGGTTGCCCAAACCATCATCCAGGTGCAGAGCTTCTATGTCGATATCGAAAGCAAGCAGGCGATGTGCAGTCTCCTCGGATACTCCAGATACGTATACGGCCATCAGAATACTGCACGTAGAACCAGGACTCGTTTGAAAAGGCGACATTGTGCCACTCCTGAACCCAGCTTTGTCGTAAGTTGCCGTCTCTCTCTATGCTGCGTTGTCAAGGGAAGCCGAAGTAACCCTGCTGATAGTCCAAGCTGCTGCAAACATCGACGCACCTTACGATCTGATTCGCCCATTTCCGGACTACTGGTCTGTGATGTGGTCGTATGGTTTTGCTGGGCTGACCTCACAAAATGTCTGCCCTCTCCGACGTTAGTCATGGGAGGGCGTTGAGATCCTGCATGCCGTTCAGTATGACCCTCAGTAATCCATTCATTCCATATTCACATGACAGTGGCTGGATGTCGACCAGTGCGACCGACGATATCACGGAACGATAATCTACATTTTTGATAGGCAACAATCCTACCTCTATTGAATTTCGAAATTTGCTGGTAAGTATTTCCTCTTCTTATTCGAGGCACAACACGACATTCTGAGCAAACTCCAATCTTATAAAGCACTTTCCGAATGAGAAATCCACTACACAACTTTTGTTTTATGCATTGCTTCAGATGTCGTTTTCGCCTCCTGCGTCGTCTAAATGCGCTGAAATACTAATCATTTGCATATCCCAACTTCCTCTTTTCATGTGTTTTTGACATTTGTCAGATCATTCCTTCCTGATGTTGCAATTTTAATGGTTAACAGTGTAAATTTAAACAAATTTTTAATTAAACTTTATGAGAAGAAATTAGTAGTAAAACATGATGTATAGGACAAATAAAATATACATACGGTATATACAAAAAAAAAAAAAAAAAAAATCCCAAACGGAAAAGTTCAAATATGCATTTTCACATATATATTTTTTACAAAAGCTCTGAATTTTGCTGTGCTAACGTTATATTTTGAATATCATGCACAACAGATAATTATCCTATTATCAAATACATTCTTGGAGTCAATATCAAAGAACGCCATTGTATGTTGAAGCAGTGCCTGAGAAATTCGTCGCATGCATTCTCGAATTCGGCATTTTAATCCAGTAATGGTAGGAAGATGCATTTTTTACACTTTGTGTTCGAGCTACCCTCAAAGGAAATAGCCAAACCGACTAAATCATGCGGCCGGACTGGTCAGTTGCCGTCGTCCTGGGAACAAACTCCGAAAGATAGTGCTAGAGATCCTTGTCGCGTGGGCTGTTTTTTTTTTTTTTTTTTTTTTTTTTTTTTTTATCTTGCTGAAACCCGTTCTTTGCGGTGACGAGGACCTATAGCCTCATGAAGAAACGTTTCGAATGATACCGTCTACTATTCAGCGTTCATAACTGCTTCGCCTGCTTTATTTTCAGATAAGTATGGCTGGCTCAAACATGTCATTTTCAGAAATTGCAGACTATACTGTCATCTTGGCACTGCTGACGGAGGAAGAGGACGCCATCTATTTACCACAGACTAATCGGTTTTGATCCACGTTCGCCACTATCCAGTGGGAGAACGCCCTACCAAAAGCAAAGTGTGTACAGTAGTCAAGCGATGCCCGACTTCTGTTACCTCATTAGGAACTCGGCAATTCACCGCGAGCTTGAAATTCCTGAAATCCATCTTTATATTGCAACACTTTGAGGAAAAAAAAAAAAAAAATGTATGAAAATTCCTGATGTGCGAAATAGCACAATCCCTGTTCTAAGCTATAATTATAATGACAATGTTAATCGTATAAGACCGCTTGAGGTTCTTCGCCACCTTAACCAATAATAATCTATTATGTCTCATTGTATAACTTTTGTAAATATTTCTGTCCTTGCTTCTATTGACTTTTTGCTGTGTACCTGTATTATGTTTGTTATGTTCTGTGTACTGTAATGTCATCCACCCACACACACACTCTGTCAGATACGGTTTTAGCAATACTGCCATTTATTTTAATATGTAATATGTCTAACTGTTATCTGTTCATTGCGCACTTCCTTCATGTTCAACGGCTGTCAGTCGCAGGTGTTGCTTCTTTGGACTCATTCAACTGTTTGTAGACTATACTATCCTTGCTGTGTATCTACCTATGAACTGTGCTTTTGTGGTTCACCATTTATAAATATATTAGGAACTTATAAACGTTCGAAAATCGGCATTGTTCTTATTTCGGATTAACGATTAAACGCAGGCACCCACTAGCGAACTAAGTTTGCCTGAGCCAACTTCTGCTACATTGGCACTATAAAGAGGGCGTTGATGTAGTTGCTGTGGACTCTCTGGGATTCAGTAATAGTAATTTTGTTTCTTGACAGTAATAAACAATTCTGCTACAGAAATGAAGTGTTGCATAGTCCAAGACTTCATTGCCACAAAACTCCCGACTTTACTGACCGCGGTGATTCACATTATAGTAGCATGGTACTTATTCACATTTGAAAAAGTCAGTTGTTTGTAATGCAGTCTTTATTTCTTAAACGTATTTAACATTATAGAACAAAACATGAGCGGTAAAATAGCTTACTAGAACAGCAGGGCTGTTTAGAAATTTCACTTTCTTTTACTTGTATCAGAAATCCCTCCACGAAAATAGATAACTTTCAAACAGCAAATAAATTTCAATCGCTTTGCCGTAAAAAATAACCTAATGTGATCTATCAGTTATTATACCTTAGGACAGTATCACTAACACGGCAGGTTTTCTAAATTTAAATTTTCTTGGTGATGTTTAACACATACACTTATATTTAATGTAGAGAATATATATATATATATATATATATAAAACATTTATAGCGAATTCCTTTCCATGATAATTTTTACGACTGCGTGAATACCACTCTTTAGAATTTTAAATATTACATGTTCACATGATTTTAAATGATGTTTGTAGTTTACTAGAAACACAAAGGCTACCACAGCTCGTCTGAAAATTTGACGAAGCCTACATATCACATCTGGTTGGCATTACGACTTCTAAAAAAAAAAAAAAGTATAAAAACAGCCTTCAGTAAAGGCCCGTTCAAATTGAATTTGGGGTGTTCCGACGTTTTTATTTTTCTAGTTCATCACATCTTGATCATGAATCAGTACTTGCTCTTGCTGCTTTCATTATTGTATGGAATATTTGCGAATGAGACAAAAGAGTTAGTGCTTCTAAATTTTCTTTTAAAAACCATATTTACGAAAAGTACTCCAAAAAGTTTTACAGATGAGCTTTGAAAAAATTAAATTTGCTTTAATACAGTTAAGAAAAGGTTTACTTTGCTAATATTTTTGTTTCTCGAGTAAAAATCAACTTGTTACCTTGATGTTAAATTTCAAAGCAGATGTTGTTAAGGACACGATACTGTTATAGAAAATTTCCAGCATCGTATTTTATTCCTTTTTACAGCTGATGAATTTGCTTTCAGACCTCTATGTGATAGTTCATCACTTGCTTATATTACGTATTTTAACGTAATTAATTTTTGTGATATCCATATTATGGTTTGAAAAAAAAACACTATTAGGACATCATTTTTTTCCAACGTAATATGCTGTAATGAATTAAATCATGATTTCATTTCATTAATTGATCTGATGTAAACAAACTTTCACAACTGTTCAACAGCTGTGAGAATAATGACGAAATAGAATAAACGTGCAAGAAAAGTAAGAAAAATGGTTATCACCTTCAAGAATAACTAATTATTATTTTTCTGAAATTTGATAAATGTCCAATCTTTGCCTTTAAAATTCTCACCCTATAGGATTTTCTGCATGTTACACTTAGACAGTAAAGTCATAGACATAAATGTTGTTTGAGTAAGTTAAAATTAGACATTTTCGTAACCTGCCGCCCTCGTCAGTTAAAAAAAAAAAAATACTAAGAGAAACCCGCTATAAAATTCGTTTCCGCATGTTTTCTTATCAAAATATTTCAAGATAAATTAATCTGTTTCATAGTTAATAATAAAAAATTTCCTTTGGACCCTAAATTGCAAAATTGTTACCCAGATGAAATGTTGCTTTTCCCAGTCGTTTAAAAATCGCACTATCTTTTCGACTTTCATAGACTTCTACTTCATGTTTTAACGCCAGATTATGCATACAGTATTGAAAGGTACCTAAAGCATAGTAACGGGGCATTATTATCATCGTGCTCTAGGTTTAAAAACATATGCTTTAGAGCTTAATGCATAGATTTCTTCAATATAAAAAGATATGAAATTAAGTTAAAAGAATAACGCAAATAACACATTTTAAGACAATTTTAGCTTTATTTTGTGACGAAATTTAAAAAAAAAAAAAAACGTTCCTCATATTTTCATTTTTAACCATTTAGACCAGTTCCTGAATTTTAATGTTCTAAAATCATACCGTTAAAATTATTAATCATAATCTTACAAATAAAATTTATATTAAGTAAAGTACTATTTTAGTTTTCCAGTAATTTTCGTTACTGCAAACTTTTCGATTCAAATTTATATTAGCAGTATTTTAAAGGTTCCAGTTAACTACAGTTAGCAAACACAAAAAGTAGCGTTTAGTAACATTTAATGTTGCCCTATACCAAACTCTTCTATGCTTCTAAAAGTTTATGGTTTAGTTCTGCAACTTACTAATGAAGTGTAATATGGACTATATTATAAAAATTTAATTAAACTTAATAAGTTTAATTGATTAAATTAAATTAAAATTAACTATATGATAAAAAAATCTAATTATATTCAAGTTTTTGACATATTATTTGTTAAAAGCATGGCTGTAGCTTGAACTACACTTGTGAAACTGTTTTTCCCCTTTTCAGGTATGTGAAGAATAAGCACTTTTTAGTTGGTGACTTAATAAATTCTATCCTGGGAGCACTGGTTGCCGTAACAGGTAGTAAAATCTAGCAAACTGTCAGTATATTTTTAATTTTACGTGATAACTAGTATAAAAATTTAAAACATTTTAATATTAACTCATGCCTTTTTGCGTAAGCATAGTTGTGTATAATTTAGAGAGGACTAAAGGAATTTACTCAAATATTCAAAAAAAATTTTAATTATTGATTTTAGCCGGCCTTCTAAAGTTAAAATATGTTTTTGGCTTTTCGCTAATTCTGACTTTTAGTTTAAAATAAATAGTCTACGCAGTTTCTCTAAAACTTCTCTTAGAATTATGTGTAATCTTCATCCAGTGGTTTCCTAATAAATTTTGATTTAGGATCTAATTTCTAGGATACTGATAACTAAGATATTATTTATACATACTGATAATCTTATTATATATGTTGTATTATAACTCATGGTTTAGCATTTGATTGCTACTTGATGTGAATAACGGTATTATTTACTTTGAGCTATAATGGAGTGGAAGAAAATTAATATAATATGGGCAAAAAAATCTGTAAAAATTTTAAAAAATCACGAAAAATCTAAAAACGATCGAAATAAAAAAAAGGTGCGCGAGATAAGCATTGATTACCAGTGGTTCCCCTTAAATTAAAAAAAAAAAAAAAAAAAAAAAAAAAAAAAAAAAAAAAAACTAATTACTTCCTAGTAGGTGGCGAATGTAACTTTGCCTACATAGGGAATATGCAAATCAGGACTATATACTGTAAGAATTTTCCTCCATAACCATTCTTCATTCAGTTCGTCATTGTGAATAGTGTATGCCTGAATGAATGTTAAGTGTGGAATGTTAAGTGTGGAATGTTAAGTGTGAATGAATGAATGTTAAGTGAATGAATGTTAAGTGAATGAATGTTAAGTGAATGAATGTTAAGTGAATGAATGTTAAGTGTGGAATGTTAAGTGAATGAATGTAAAGTGTGGAATGTTAAGCTTTGTTGAAAATGTTTTTATGTTAACAACGAATCGGCAGCCTTTTCTCTGCGAAACGTTATTACGAGCACAGAAGAATCTGAGGACTAGAAAAAGTCCTTTAACACCTGAAAGACTAATAATCATTGCAACCATTGTGAGGAAACTGATTTACTGAAGAAGCATGCAAGAACCGGAAGACCGTGTTTAACCGAGTCATGTATAGGTCGTGCTGCATCCAAAATGAAAGCGTCAGCATCCGAAGGAGAGACAGGAACGAACAGCACTCGTAAAGCTGCAAGACGATTGGCTTTGACGGTATGCAATATTCTTCATGGAACTCAGTATGTGTATTCATGCAGATTTCAGACGTGTCACGAATTTTTAGGTAATTCAAGAAGCGAAACCTTTGTCACGTCGGCTTTGCTTAAAATCGCACATGAACCGAACTGGGTGTTAAACGCCTTGTGAATATATGAAGCTCATTTTTTGCTAAATGAAAACGTTAACACTCATAACTGTCGAATCTGGGTGACGTCTCGTTGCCATGAATATTCGCAGAAACCTGTTCTTTTCCCAGAGCTGAGAGCGTAATGTGGCTATACTAGTTCTTTCCCTCTAGGACCCTTTTTCTTTAAACGCGATGCCCAGTAAATGGCTAGACAACTTGCACAATGAATACAGAGTATTATTTAGATTTTGTAATGCCGCGAGCATGTAATGCCGTACTTGCGGGAAGGAGATGTACTGTCTACTAAGGTAATAGATATGCTCGATGGGCCAAACAGTCATATTGCAAATCTAGTTAAAGCATTGTTGATCAAGATAGCATCATTAGCAGGCACTGCAATTTCCCATGGTCTCCTCGGTCTCTAGATATGATTCTGGCTGACTTCTGGCTGTGAAGATGTTTGAAACCCTATGTGTGTCGATCAGGACCTTCCATTTTGTCGGAACTGAAAGATGCGATTCGCTGAAAGGGGTCATATGCACATCTGAATATATTGCGCTCTACCATCGCTGGTATTGTGTCTCGTCTACAGCCTGTTACACTTTGTCATGGAGGTTATGTCAGATACTTATAATAAACAGTTTTTAAGCAGCCTACGTTAATGTTTTTTAAGTGTCTGTTCGTTGTTTTTTGTATGCCCGCATCATTTGTCAACAGTTTTTTAAATTAATCTGCCCCGTCAATAGATGGGCAATTAAAGCTTACATACTCGTATTCTTTTTCTTAAATTCGATATTTTTTTATTGATTTTAAATATTTTTTTATTTATTTAAAAAAAAATGTTATGTATTTTTTTGCCCATCTTGTTCGTAAGTACGAATGAATTTAACGCAGGATTTAAAAAAAAAAATTATGTATTTTTGGCCCATTTGGTTCGTAAGTACAAATGTATCTAACACACGAAAGTATTTGTAGTTTTGTCCAAATGTAGCTTTAAACGTAATGTATAAAAAGGAAATATATTATTACAGTGAAGGCTACTAGGATCATGAACGCCTCTGAGTACGAACAAATTTTCTGAACATAACTTGTTTTGGAGGATGAACATAATGAATAATGTCTCGAAATACGAACAATTAAACCGGCAACAAAGGATATTCCAAAATGCAAAGGAAGATCTCCTGACGTATGAGATTCGCGTAAAGCAGTGGTCTTAGGTTCAAACTGCATGTGGACCAAATGCACAACCTGAAAGGAGGTGACGGGACGAATTTCTTTTTTAACCAAAATGAAAAGTTGCTTTAAAAAATGTTTTAATTCAATTTTATTTATTAAATGCTAATCAAAACACACACAAACAATAATAATAAAAACGTAAAGGAAAACATTCCAATTTATATATATTTTCTCTCTGAAATCTAAAGATTGGTATCTGCAAGAAATTTCTGTTTGTTACACTTTGTAATTCAAACGTATTGAATATTAAATATTCAGACCCGTACGTATTGAATGAATAATATATAACGTATAACGAAAAAGTAACGAACATTAAATATTCAAACAGACATATATTACAAATAATTCGAATATGTTGAATTAACTACTAAATAAAATACTTAAATTAATAATAACTAAATTATAAAAACTTTTTAAGTGGGACAAAACTCGAGATTAAACTAGAGCAGCTATTTTCTTTCTCTTATTTGTTAAATTTTTCTTTGACGTTTACAGAAAAAATAAATATATTTGTGAGTAAATAATTATAAACATATTTACTTCTCACTACAACTTTCAATAGAACAACCGATGGTGTTTCGATTTTGATAAGGTTTGTAACCTTGGAAAAAATAACTAGAAATTGTCTGAATCACGCACTGTAGATGCTAATCCATTAGCGTGATCTTTTTTAAAACTTACTAATTTTCAAATTTGGAAAAAAAAAATACTATTTACACATAAATGTATTCTTATGGCAAAAATTAACCTTAAGTTATGATGCTATTTTTGTTCTTGCAGCAGTTCCACCTATTGATTTCGAAACTGAATACAAGAATAAATATTTGGGAAGTACTGGCAGCTGATACTTCCCAAATATTATTCTTGTATATTCTTGTACTGATCTTCAGTACAAATATTATTCTTGTACTGAAGACCGCAAAAATGGAAATGATATTCCTCCACTATATTCCTCATCCAGCTACTTTTGGATGAAGAATACTACTTTTGGGGCCAGCTACCTATTACAGGAGTTGAACAAAAATATGGAAACACCTCTAAAAAAACATGTTTCTTTGCTTAATATGGTGTAGGAAACCCGTTGGCATCCAAAACAGCTTGCAGTCTTCTCGGAATGAATAAATACAGTTCCTGTATGTTTGCCAAGGGAATATTATACCATTCTTCCTGCAAAACGGTGGCAAGTTCAGATAACGATGTTGGCGGTGGATAATGAGAACGCACTTTCCGTTCCAATGTAGACCACAAAAGTTCGATAATATTCAGGTCTGGTGACTGTGGTGGCCAGGGGAGATGGGACAACTCATCCTCGTGCTCAGAAAACCAGTCCTGGACAATGTGAGCTATGTGAACAGGGGCTTTGTCGTCTTGGAAGACACCATCACCATCGGGGAACAAAGTTTGTACCATGGGATGAACTTGATCGGCCAAAATGTTCACATAAGTCTTGGCAGTATGTGCCCTGACACAGTTATCATGGGGCTAGCAGAGAACCACGATTATGGCTGCCCAAACCATAACAGAACCCCCGCCATGTTTCACTCTTGGCAACAAGCAGTCTGTATTATAGGCTTTGAGATGGCGTTCTCCAAACGTAAACTCGGCCAGAAGTGGGAAACAATGTGAAAGAAGACTCGTCAGACCATATTACTCGCTTCCACTGCTCTATAGTCCAGGCTTTATGACTTTAAACACCACCTTTTCCAGTTACGAGCATTAGCATCAACTGATGAGTGGCTTCTCAATTGCAGCACGGCAGCAATTCCCTGTTTATGAAGCTCCCTTCTAATTGTTTTGGTACTCACAGGGTTCGGTAACACAACATTCATTTCAGCAGTAACTTTTGCAGCTGTGGTCTTCTTATTTTTCGTCACAATTGCCCTTAATGATCGTCTGTCACGATCACTCAGGACACACTTTTCGTCCGCGCTGTGATTTAGCAGATGATGTTTTTCCGCTTTTCAAATATGCGGAATAAATCTTCGATACAGTACCTCTTGAAACACTAAACACCTCGGCTACCTTGCTTACGGAAGCACCTATCATACGTGCTCCAACAATTTGCCCACGTTCGAAGTCTGTTAACTCTGACATAATGCAATGACAACCTCACATAACAGTACTCCGCCAACAACTGAACTGTTTAGCACATTTACGAAGTTGTATAGATGGCGTCAGTAGTCAAAAACGCCACCACCTACATATTTCATTAAAATCAATCTTTCTTTTCAAACATGCATTTCACAAGGTGTTTCCATATTTTTGTCCATTCACTACTACTATTCCTCATCCAGTTACCACATCCGACTACCAAATTTGTGAGATTATAAAGAGATTGTTGAAAAGTGTTTTCAAATGGTTTGCTTTACACATGGCTGTGAAATGAA